TGATAAAAAAATGATTTAACATAATACAATAAAATTAAAATAATTTATTACGAAGAAGTCAAATTTAATAAGTGAATTAAATTTTAAAATTTTAGAGAAATCATAAAAAAAATTTTAAATATAAAAAAATGAATTGACATAATACAATAAATTTAAATTAATTTAATATAAAGAAATAAAATTTATTGAGTAAATTAAATTTGAAAATATCAGAAAAATGGAAAAAAAAAATATTGCAAATTCTCTCAACTCCATATTTAGTTGGCCTCCAGCTCCTCACTTGCGTTCTGCTCGCTTGAAAAATTAGAATATGAACAGCGATAGTCCAGTTGGCGAACTCCTCCTCTCCCAGCACGTTGAAGATGATGATCAGTGGCTTCAAAGTCCCCTTAAAAGCCCGATTTCATAAGCTAAAAGCAGAACCATCCTACTTATTCAATCGGGCTTAAAAATCACAACTTTTAACTATAAGTGAGATTGGTTAAACGCTGAACCAAACATCCTATTTACTCCCACTGAGCTTATTTTCAATTATAAGCCACGTTTGGGCCAGCAAACATTGACCCAAACAGGCACTAAATGCCAGTACTTATGTTAAGAGTAACTGGTGTAGTTGTGCATAAAATGACATTCCACTTATTAGCAAGAAATAAAAAATCAAACCAGATATTAACTCGGTTGAAGTAGTGGTCCAAAGATTAGTTGGTCAGATGGGGATCAACTCGGAGTCAAACTGATCATATTAAAATAAAATAATTTAACTTAAAATAACAAAATACAACAACATTAATAATTACTAATAAAAAATACAAGAAAAATGTAACAATATTTTGACCGTAACAATAACAAATTACAATAACATTAAGAATTTTGATTCTTACAATTCATCAATAACTAAAATTAACAATCATTGATATCAAAATCATCATTAAAATTCATTTAGATATATAGTAATATCAATAACAACATAATAATTCAAATTGGTTCATCATTGGTTTTTATCAGATCACGCCGATTTGACTAGTTCGATGCCGATTCAACTCTTAATCAATTTAATGTCTAAACCAGATTAAACCACTGGCCGATTCGGTCCATTTTTTTTTATTTTATGCTTATTACTTGGGTGGATTATAATTAAAGTCATTACATTAATTGAAGAGAATATCTAGTAAATTAACAAATTTTATGAGGATATTAACTAACCTTAATTGTTTTCATGGGGACAATGTTTAAAAATGCTTTTTAACATAATGCTTAGGCATTGAGACACAGCAATCAATCAAGACCCTTAATTAGTACTCTTTATCTTTCTTTCTTTCCTTTATACAAGTATTCTTTTATTGAAAGAAATTCTATTTAGGTATTATCAGTGCTAGATGTGGATACCTCTTCTAGCATAATTTCGAACCTTAATTTTTCATGTTTAAGTTTAAGTGAGTTGAGTTCTAAGAATTTATAAAAGTCAATACATGCCTCCAGATTTAGCAAGCGTTTACAAATTGCCTAATAATAATGTCCTCACATCGATATTTGAATTTGAACTTATGACGTTGGGGTTATAAGTCAAATCCTTAACAAAATAAAAATTATCTATAACCATTTTATTCAAAATAAAAATAAATATTAAGCTAGCAAAGAATAAGATTTTTTTTTAAAATTTACATACTACTGTCTTTTCTAAAAATGTGATTTATAATAAAAAAGAATAGTATGTTAACATTTTGAGACGACAAAATGTCATTATCCTCGTTGCTTGGTTTTAAAGTGTCATTCTCGGTTCTCCCCATTTCATTTTTTTTTTCCCAACAAACAAACAGATAACAAGCCTTATCCCACTAGGTAAAGTCAGCTACACGAGTCACGTGATGTCATCGTGTTTTGTCAACAACCTAATTCTTAGATATGTTGTTGGCTAAGTAGTCTCGTTTAATGACCTCATTGAGTGTTTTTCTCGGTCTTCCGTTATCTCTTTTTATGAGACTCCATACTGTTTGATCTACACTCCTCAGAGACAATAAAATCCCATCTAAGAGAATTAAATAAAAAAAGATTCTTTAAAATTATGAAATTATTCTGAAGTCTTAGGAGATTTTATTGCAATAAATTTTATTTATTTAATTACCAAATTACCTTTATCTCTTTTTTTTTAAAAGTATGTATTGACAACTGAAAGTATAATCATTAACAACTTGATGCGTAATGATTAATAACTATTGCAGCAGGTATTGATAACACATTTTCTCAGTGCATTACAAAAATATAATACATGAGTTATCAATATTTATCGTGATAGTTGTTAATCGCTACGTCTTACGTTATTAATGACTGCACTTTTAATTCTCAATACATACTTTTAAAAAAATAAGGACAATTTGATAATTAAGCAAATAAAATTTATTACGATAAAATCTTTTGGAATTTCATGTTAATTTGATTATTTTAGGGATCTTTTTGTATTAGAGCATATTAAACGGGATCTTATTATAATTTTTCCTAGAAAAAAATCATCCTAACTGGGTCCCTCCACGTCACCACTCTCCTCCATCAGTCAAATTGTAAGTGCAAAGAAAGAGAACACGTTTTGCTCAAAAGTATTTCAAAAAGGAGGAGAACACGTGAGCATCATGACGTCAGCAGAATGGCCCGACGCGACGCCGAAAGGTCGCTCTCGGCTAAAAAAAAATAAAAATAAAAAATATCAAACTTCCTTCTATTTAACTCAAATTACAAATACCTTATTTTTATTTTAAAAACTTATATAGACTTTTCTTAAGATCAAAATATATCTTGCACAAACTTCTTTTCTAATTTTAAGATTCAACTCCCATTCACTTCTTCATTTGTTGACCATTAAATCATAGGGTTGACATATTATTTTGATCAAACTGTCCCTTCTTAATACAAATATTACTAATAATTATCATTTAATGACGTATCATATATCTTGATTTGAAATCAAAAAATCAAAAATAATTTTAATAAATATTTTAATATTTTTTATAATATTGAATTGATTACCATATTATAACTTTTATTAATTTTAGAAATACAAATTTTTATTTTATAATGAATCTTGTTTATTTATGTAAATTTATTTGTGATGTAATTTTTTAAATATATATTAGCAAAAAATATTTTGTAATTGTATATATGCATTTTCAATAAAATTATAAAGTTATGTTTTAATTTATTAAATTTAGTAAAAATATTAAATAGATTATTAATAAATATTAAAATTAAAAGATAAAATATGGATTTAATATAATGAGGGGTGAAGTAGAAAATAAGATTTATTTTAATATTTTTTAATTAAAAAATGTACACATAGAATCTTTTCAAAGTATTCATTAACCGTGTTAATGATTTAAACTAAAATATATGTCATCAAATAGAAAGAAAGTTTCGTGTAATTAAAGCAAAATAAAAAGGTGGCAGAGTATATGGTATCAAAAAAAAAAAAGGTAGCAGAGTATTTTACTGAGAAAAATAATAATAAAATAAGAACCCATTGTCTCACAGTACAGGCCCCTCACCGTCATAGACACGTGGCATACTGTTATGTACTCGGACACGTGGCACTCCCACTTACACTAATGCCCCTCCTTCCTTTTTACTAGTAGTAGTATTATAGTAGTACTCCTCTGGTCCTTAATATATGACCCAATCGTTAAGTTGATTTTAATCCTAAATATAAGATTCATTTATCATATTTATCAATTTTCTCAAAATTACCCTTATAGATACTTTCTCAACCATAATCAAGTAGAAAAAAGAAGGGGCATTAAGAAAGATAATTATGGTATTTTAGAAAAAAACATGTTACATTTCTTATAATTAACTAACTTACCCAACTTCTTAATCTAATCAAATTAGTTAAATAGATCATATATTAAGAATTGGAGGAGTACATATCCATTTTCCCCTTACTGTCCCTTTCCGCCATTATTTCGAAAGCAGGAAACGAGAAATTTACAAGTTGCAAATTTGGGTCAGGGCGGGCCCCACTTCCGGACATGAACCATGATGACCCGTGCTCCTGTCTCTGTTTCCTTGGACCACGTGGCTGACACGCACTCCATGTTCCTCCATCATTCCCGCCGGACATCGTTTCTTGCCTTCCTTCCTTCCTCCCTCCCTCCCTCCCTTGACTCTGCCGCCTCTCCCTGTCGGGTCTTGACCGGGGCCTGTTTCAGGTCAACAATCATCCTCAGCCGTTGGATACATTACTAAGTCATCATTATCAACGGCTTTCGAATTTTCCATTTGTACCTTGATCTGTACTAGACTACTAGCACTACCACAACAATACCCCTTTGTGACTCCTCGCCCTCTTCAAATTGGTTCCCAAATCATTAATAATTCATTAATTCTCCCTTTCAAGTATGACAAAGTCATGTGTAATAATTTTTTTAAAGAAATGGAGAATATCTGGTTTTTATTTATAAAGATTATTTGAAAAACCGTAAATAATTTTTTAAAAAATATTTACATAATTACAAGTTAATTAAATTCTAATACAATACAACCCTTTTGATACTTGATTTGTAATAATTGATTAAATTCTACTACACTAATGTCTGTTCTTAATTTTTAAAACTTAGGGGGTATTTGGTAACTTTGAAAAGTGTTTCTCAAAAATATTTTTTCGTAAAACGAGACAAATTCTTTTATATATTTATTTTGTAAACCATAAAAATATTTTTAAAACTATGGTTTTGATTTCTATCCAAATACTTTTTTTATTATGGGCATTTTTTTCAACTGAAAATTCATTATTGGCAGATCGTACAAGCTACGGGAGCATAGGGATCGTGCGTTGTTATGCGTCGCATAGATCATGGGATTGTGGGATACAGATAGACACTGTACTCAACAAATCCGACGCTGCCACGTATACGTCCTAAACTGATGACATTTTATATTTCTAAAATGGGCTTATCAATTATCTCCCTCAACTCTCAAGTTCAGTTCAGAGAGCCGTGCCTCTGCACTCCACCTCTCCTGCCTTCGAATCGTTCGCCCTGCCGGCTCTCCGCCACCTGTGGCCGTCCATCTATTTGCCGTCGGGAACTGGGAGCGATACATGTTGCATCACGGCGGTTTTGAATCAGAAAAGAGATTTTAAGAAATGGCCCATCTATTCACTTCATCGATTACCGAGCCAGATCGTCTCGCAATTGCTCTGAAGTGTAAACACTTTGTGTGATTCCTCTGAGCTATCCCTTCTCCTGGTAAGTACTATATATATATGTATGCTTATGTTTGCTGATCCCCATTCTTGCTTGGCCTAATCCTTTTCTTCATGTTTCCGGTTTTTCTACTGCTGGTTGATTGGTTCTCTCCAGAGTTTTCTTTGAGGGAATTAATTTGCTGTTTCCGTCATTCTGCAACTTATTGAACTTTGACAATATGATTTTTAAACAATCTTGTTTAAGTGATTATCATTTACCAGTGTTGCTGTGTTTATATGTGCTAACTCTGGTTCTAGATACAATAAGCTCTTTTATATAAATATAAAATTCAGTTGACTAATTTGAATAGAGTACAAAAATAAATTAAATTAGTTATTTATCATAAATAAATAGATGTTATCTTTATAAAAATATTCTTACTAATCATTAAATATATTATTAGAATTATCATTATTAAAAATTATTTAAAAAAAATGATAAATATGAGAGACAAAATGAATTAAGGTGTTATATTTAAAATCAAAATTTTATATTAGAAAAAGGGAAAAGTATATATGTATATATGTTATTGTAAGAAAATTGTAATATTTTAATAATTCGGTTTGAGACATTCACCTCTTTCTTGACTAGTTTAGTGTTTCATCGATTTTTTTTTAGCCTTGCTCTGGGTTGCTTTACACACTGGGTTCGTTTCGGTTTTCTCGTCAAAATTTCGATTATGTTTTTTTTAAAAATGATAAAATAAAAAATAAAGACTAGTTAGCTCTTAGTGTAGTATGGTAACATCCTATTATGGTTTATATAATTAATCTTAAAACTTAGCTTGTTATTTCTTTGAAGTCATTTTTATAAGTTTAGTTATTTCTTACAGCGTGATTTAATGTCTTATAAAATCACATCGCAATCCTATATAAAAATGAAAATATAACTGTTGAAATTTGATATGAGTAACTCGCATCTACATACTACTTCAAAAAAAAAAAAAGGAGAGAAATAGATGTGCAGAATACTCAAATTCTCAAGGGTGGCAAAATTATTGGGAGTGATTAAAATAAAAATATATTCTAAATCAAAATACGGGAAGATTTAGAGATGAAATCTAGAAACATAATAAGAATTAAAAAAAGAGAGCATCTTTTGGATAAAACTGAGAAAAGGTGAGGTGTGAAGGATTGGTGATGGTGATAGGACAAGATAAGGGCCTGTTTGGATATCTTAAAACCGCGGTTTTAGAAGTACTTTTCTGTAAAACGAGATAATCTCCTCCACATATTTATTTCGTAATCCGTAAAAGCACTTCTGAAACTATGGTTTGGTTTCTATCCAAACACACCCCCCAAAAGGGCAAGCAACACCATTATAAGCAGCTCAAATCATTGAAGCTACGTGTCAACTTCCCGATTCCCCATGTCTGACTGACACGTGGCCACCACAGCCCTTATCCTTTTCGTGACACGTGTTATCCCCCAAAGACAACTTGTTGAAAGCGATCCCAATGCCAGACAATTTGCAGTGAAAAATCGTGTCATCCACGCACCCCCGTGTTTCCCCCTCGCACCTGCCTCAAGGCTATTTTGGGAATGTCATCTATTCCATTTCTTCTTTATTAGTGTAACATTTGCATGATTTAATAAAATTGTTAAAAGTAGCTAAAAACAACAAACATATAAAAATTGTTCCTTTTCTTTTCAACTATGTTTTTATCTATAGGTGAGTGAATGAAAAAGAGTGGTGATAAAAAAAAATGGTGAAAGAGAATACATGAAAAAATTAATTAAAAGTAAAATTAGCAAAAATATATTTGATGCTCAAACACTTCTAAAATAGATCTTGTAAAAAGAGATGGGAAATTCAAAAATTTAAATATCATTAAAAAGGGATGAAGAGAATTGTTTTTATTACGTGTAGATATTTTTTATTAGAGATAATTTTATTTAAAAAGAAAGTATGTTTTTATTATTAGATGAAGTTACTAAAAAAATACTTATTGTAAATTTATTGCTTAAAAGTATTTAAATATTGAGATTTTAAATGAGTACAACTCCATTTCGCAACAAATTAAAATTAAATTGTATATATTTGAAAAAGAATTGTATGAAAATTGCATCTATTGTCTCCTCATATGAAGAAAACAGAGAGGAGACGAGGATAGAAAAAATTTTAATTTTAACAAGTTCAATTGAAAAAAATTAAACAAATAGAGTTACGCATTTTTAACCAATTTTTTATAACTAATTTCCCTTATTTTTTTTTATTTTTTTATCAAAATTTTATAATTTTTTTAATTTTTAAGATAAGCTTGTTAATATTTTTTCAACACCGCCTTCCATTTGTCACAGGACGGGGTGAGGGTATTTTTGAAATACATCATCACGGGGTTAGGGTATTTTTGAAATACATCTAATGTTATTCTCTTTTCCTCTTTGTACTTTCTAGCCTCTCCTCTCTGCCCATCCTCCCGTTTTCTTCTCGTTTCTCTTTTTTGCCTTCTTTCTATTCCCCTTCCCCTCCCCCTCTCTTGTATATTTTTTTGGCCCTTTTACCGATCCTAAAGTGTGTCACGTACTGCTTGCTCTGGCTTGTGCCTTCCCTTTATATGCGTGAAAAAACAAATCAAAAAATCAGTAACTTTTTTTTTTTTTTCAAGTTTTGTTGGAACCGCTTCCACTTTTACTTGAGCATTATTCATTTGGGTTTTGATTGAGTTGCAGATTTTTTTTGTCCCTCTTCTTGTTTTCCCTCTCCAAGGGGATAATATCGTCTCTTGCTGTGGATTGGGTTGGGACTCAGTACTTGTGATGGATTCTCCGTGCTGTTTCTGAGCATTGTTGAAGGATTAGTAGCTGAATTGCTGGCTACTAAATCTCTTCATTTCTGTGGATGTTTCTGGTTTTTATGAAAGATGAGCCAAGATAACGAAGAGAGAAGAAGAAAAGCAATGGAGACCCTATCTTTGCAAATAGACAAATATCCAAGAGATCTGCTCCGAACATTCATGTCTAGGGACAATACTCAACAATCCGAAAGCCCAGAGCCTGAGAGTGGTTCGGAGGAGATTGAGCTGAATCTTGGCCTTTCGCTGGGTGGTCGATTTGGTGTTGATAAGCATGCTAAAAAGTTAGGGCGATCATCGTCTATCGTCGGAACAATGCCTCTTGTGAGAGAGAACGAGTCCACAACCCCACCGACGCCGTCGTATCCAGGCCTTTTGAGGACGTCTTCGCTCCCGACGGAGACGGAGGAGGAGTGGAGGAAGAGGAAGGAGTTGCAGATGTTGAGGCGAATGGAGGCGAAGAGAAGACGGTCTGAGAAGCAGAGGAGCTCTAGGACGGAGAGAGACGGTGGCGAAGGAAGGACTGAAATGGAGGCCCCAAAGGGAAGTGATTGGGCCTTTGGGCTGCCCAGCTGGGCTGCGGCAACATCAAGGCAAGTGGTTCTTAGTGATGTGTTGGCCCAAGGAAAAGCCCATGGGCCATTGGGTGGGACTTCTGGTTTCCACGGGGGAAGCTCGTCGTCGGGAATGACAGAAATGGAAGGCAAACCATCTCAAGGTAAATTGCTTCTTTAAGTTTTATTCCGTTGGCAATTCTTTCTTCAGGCTACCAATTTAAAAGTTCTTGTTCTTGGAATTTTGCTTTCTTTTGGTGCGGATGGTCTTCTTAAGTAAACATGGGACTGCGATTTGATTGCATGATGAGGATTAAATCTCAAGTTTTGTCTTGCAAAAATGGATTAAATCCTTGAACATTGTGTGCTTCAAAATTCGTTAGTAGCTTCATTCATCGTAGGACCACAAAAAAAAAAAAAAAAACAGCTTTCATGTATGTTACTCGGATGGATTAGCATAGTCACTTTGGTCAGCCAACCCACTTAATGTATCAAACAATGATATCAGTGAGGAGCTGTCTAATTACGGTAAAGAAAGAATCTTCAGATTATTGTTAAGAAGAAACTGATCAATGGCTCACTAACCTCATGGGTGTATACCATGGAAGAATAGGAAATATATCATTTTGGTGGCTATCACTGCCCATTAGATATCTGATTTGACGGTTAAAAATAGTTGAGTTGTATATTTGATGTATCTATGTGGCTGCTGGCAATTTGCTTATATTCGTGATTGACTTTGCAAAATATGATCATTCATTTGGGGGCGTGGGATATTTTTAAAAGTGTTGTGGTCGCGAGGTTAATATTTGTTAGACCTAGAGATCCTGGGGAAGAAATTTTGGAGAAATCAAATAGTTTTGGAATTACTTGTTTTTGTGACAGTAAAAAAAAAAAATTCCGGGATATTTAAAGTTGTGATCAACACAAATAAATTCAATAACATGCAGTTAACATAAAATAGTTGAGCATCATTTTAGAGTTCTTATAACTTCTGAACAATGTAGTAAGTTGAAGCTCTCGGTTAATAAGTTGAAGCTCTCGGTTCTTCCTTCCTTTCTTTAGAGTTCTTATAATTTCTTCCTGGAGACTTGAGCGAAGCTTAATAGTAAGTTTGAGGTAATGGGAAAGAGGGGAAGTGGGAAGAGAAAAGAAAGAATGGGGTCTTGAGTAAGGTGTTACATTGGGCAAGTAATTTTCACGTTCTCCTTGTGAACTTGTAATTTACTATACAAGATACTCTTTCGGTTCTAAATGTAAGACCCATTTTGTAGTATATCCTTTCGGTTTTAAATGTAAGACCCGTTTTGTGGCACAATTTGCACTACAAAATTGGTCTAATATTGAAGTTCAAAAGGGTAGAACTTTTGGGAGAACCACATTTGGATAGAAATGCTAACTTCCCATAAATCCCATGTCGGATTCTTGTATTTTTAATGTGAGGTTTGAGTTCTATACTTTGTAATTGGGTCCTAACATTCCACCATGCTTCATATCTTTGACACTCATGCAAGCTAGCTTTGCACTAGCTTCCTAGTTCTTAACTAATACTACCTCCGGTCTTTAATATAAAAGCTAGTTTGACTTTTAATTTTATCTTAAATATAAGACCCCAATCCATTTTGTTTCTAATATTTATCTATTTTTCTTAAAGTAGCCTTGATAATAGTTGCAAATGTTAAATATTTCATCAAATGGTCATTCTAGCCAATACATATGATTAGTAAGGTTATTTTAGGAAAAACAACATCTATTTATTACAAGTAATTAACTTAACAAACTTTCTTAATTTACTCGAATTAGTTAACTAGCTCTTATATTAAGAATTGGAGATAGTAATAGCTTTATATCTTATCCTTTACTGAAAATGATAATAAAAAGGAGACAATGCTTTAAAGACAATATAGGATGCTTCTATCTTCTTATACACTGCTTTGTATCCCAGGATCAAGTGATTGTGCCGAGGCAAGTAGCCCTGCCTGTAATCAGATGGTGCAGGAACGAAGCAATCAGGATGCTGGGGGTTCCTCTGGGACAAAGTCAAATGAGAATATGATCAGAACACCCAGTGAGGTGGAGAACCCATCAAGAAGACCTGGCCAAAACAGAGGTAGGGAAACTGGATCAAATGCAATGGAAGACATGCCTTGTGTTTTCACACAAGGGACTGGCCCTAATGGGAAAAGAATTGAGGGAATATTGTACAGATATGGTAGAGGTCAGGAAGTGAGAATTATGTGTGTATGCCATGGAAATTTTCTCTCTCCAGCAGAGTTTGTGAAGCATGCTGGTGGTGGTGATGTTGCTCACCCGCTTAGGCACATAGTTGTAAACCCTTCCTCTACTCCCTATTTGTAATATATGATATATTTATTGAGTAAATTATTTCAATCAGATAGCGTCTTTTCTCGTGTCAATTTTTTGCTAGGCTCTTAGATCATAAACATATTATATGTAACCTTGCCTTTCTTGAAGAGAATTCTTTGGTTCATCACTTCGGGATCTTTGGCTGTTGATGATTTCGCACCTGCTATTTCTTTTTCTATTTCATAAAGACTACATGCAGTCTGAGGAATAATATTGATGCGCTCAAGGTTTCATTGTTAGTTTTTAAGGATGATTGGGGGGAAAAAAAATTACAAGACAACTTGCTAGTCAGGATATCCAAACTCTAGCTACATTTACAAAATATATACTTTCACGCCATAGATTATGGTGTTCAAAATTTTATTGCTCAGCTACTTGCGTACAGGCCAAAAAGAAGATTTGCCATATCGTAAAACTAATATTTACATGAGAGGGTCCTACTCGCCACAGGTGGAGGAAGAAAGTTAGTTACACTTTGTTCAAAGTTATTCAAGATCAGAGATCCTAGGCTGCCATGATCTCCATCACCTCTTCTTTTCCCAATCAGGAAGAAGAAACTTTCATGGGAAACACAGATTTCCACACACCAGAGACAGAGAGCAGAAGAATCCACAAGTCACAAGCTCTCGAATCTTAAGATGATCCCTATAATATCCTCAACACAAGTGACTTGATATCTGATCATATTCATGCCTGTAAACCTAGAGGAGCTAATAGCTATGCCAAATAAGGCCTAGATATTCCCAGATTACACACTGCCTTAACAACAACGACAATGACAACACTTGTCCCTTGTCCAACAAGAGGACCAAGAGAGGCACCAGAACCAATTCCAACGCTTGGCAGTTGGGTGCGGTGCTAGTTTAGATGCGTCTTCTTTTGGGGGAACATATGGTCCTTCTTCTGAATGCCGTGGGGAAACATCTACCTTGTGGGCACTAGGTCCGTCCGCTTCTATCAAACTGCAGCGATTTGAAACAGATTATACCAATTCGCTTGTGCAGTTTAGCTAAATTTAAAAGCACTTAAATTGAGAATTTGCCGGAAACACGGCTATTAAAAAGCATGCGCAAGGATCAAGACAGAAAGAACAGACATCCTTGTAATCAAAGGAGTAAGACTGAACATAATGAAGTGTCTTAAATTACAAGCATAGGTAGAGAGTAAAAATATGCATAGGCAAAGGAAAAAGCACTATATTGCCATCTTTCATGGCAGCAGCTCCAACTGTAGCAGAACGCTCAGCTACAACTTAACTAGAAACAAGTTGGCCTTTTGGAGTAATGGCAATAACTTTGCTATTCACAGTAGCAGAACTCGCTGCTACTATTGGAAGGACAGCACAATGGCCATGGAAGCTTTCTTTCTGCAATGCAAGAATGGTATAGTTTTCATTGCACATATTAAATCTGTAAGATTTTATCTAACACATTTTCATGTGAACAGATGCTCTACCCGCACAAACCTAATGTAAACCGTTACAGGACAAGGATGGGTGCAGGATATAATAATATAAGTAGCTAGGTAGTTCCACACATAACACATCTAAATTTGCTGCCTCAGTAAACTGGTATTTATAGCAGTGTACTGACGTACTAAGTAGCACAAGAAATATGTGTGGAACAGAGAAAAGAAGGACTCACATTGGGAACGCAAAAGAGCACGTACTGGTTCCGCTACAATGAGAGCGACCGGAGACGTTGCGAGAATTACAAATTATACCCGGATGCGAACTCTGCGCCTTGGTTTGCTCTTCGTTCGACCTCTTTTCTGACTCATGAGTTTCATCTACCCTTTTATTTTTTTGCGAATCCTTCATATCATTATTCTCCTTGTCAATTTCTATGTCCTCTGGTATAACAAATGAAGGTTGGCTACGAAGCTCACCAGACTTTGTCAATTCCCCAGACTTGTACAAATCATCGAACATGGAGATATGGTCCCGAGAGAAACTGTAGTTCCCTAAGTGAATGCTAAACAATGATTCATTAGAAGCAGTACTCCATTCGATTGGAGATGTATTATTTCTTGCAAATATTGAAGATGGAATCCTGTTAGGATCATATCCTCCCGACGGGTCCATCACTTGGACTGGAGGGCTTACTGTTGGCGGCGCACATGTTGAGGTGGGAACTGAAGAGATGTTGTCTCCTTTATCAGATGACGAAGAGCTATGACTGGAAACATCATGCTGTTCATTTTTTGATGCAACTCTCAATGACTTAGACTCTAAACCAACTGTCTCTACTTCAAAGACATCGTCTAATGATGATTCTGATGAAGAGGAAGAGCTTAACCTTCTGACTGGCTCCCATATACTTCCAGTGCCAATGTTGGCATCTGTCTCGGGGAAATTGCTTTCACCACCTTCTAAAACTGTTTCACCTTTAGCAATAAGATCTATTTGCCCTTCTGAGTCTGTACTGCTTCTAGTTCCATCAATTACCTCAGATTTTGAATGGGAATGCTTGCTGCTTCCACTCCCAGAAGAAGGAGATTCTGGAGATGTTTTTGCATGCTTATCATTTTTGCTCTGATCAAATGTGTCCGCATACATTTCCAAATGTTTGCTACTTCTTCCCTTTAAATAAACCCTGCATTAGCATCTGAATCCTTAGAATAGAGTCTGCCTTAATTTAGATAGATCAGCTTAATATTATAAGAAACAATTTCTCGTTGACCTACCCCGCTACCCCTTCTCGATCACTAAGCAATAAATTTAAAAATCCATCATTTGATGCAAAATTTCATGGTACGAATCAATGCAAGAATGAAAAATGCCATCATATTAACGATACCATTGTTATCCCCATCTAATTCACTCTCTCCCATTGTAGAAGCCCAGAAGCGAATGGCCAATTTCTTTATTCCAGCTGAGATGTCATATACATTCATCAATCATGAAAATATTTTCCTTGCGTACGGAGCAACAAAAACAACAATGAAAAGAGTATGAACATGATATCGGAATAACTCACTGATTACGTCTGGCTGCCGAAATTCCGGTCCCCGGAAGAGGCACCGTTAAGAAATTCCTTTATCCCAGATTTCTACACAACGCATAGAAAAATTAACAAATAGTAAAAACGGAAAAGGAATTGAAAATCTCACAGAAAAACATTAGAAAGTGGTAAAAACCATTTATTTCTTGACACAAACAGAAAAAAATTAAGATACCTTACATTTGTGGCTTAAACCATATCTGAGGCACCGATTTTGATTAAGAATCCTTTTTGAAGCATTTGGTTCGTTGCAAGTTGCCCTGAATTCTTCGACTCTTAGTTCCGATGCCAAAAGCGCAAAACAAGTTTGAAAACAAGAAAAACAAATTAAGAATAAAAGGGGGGGAAAAACTAATCTCAAATGAGAAATCAAGGTTTTATTGGGAATGTGATGTTGCGACATTATCGCCGTGTCCCAGAATCCGATTTCCTTTTGCAACTAACTAAATCTTCGTTTCGCGCCATATCTTCATTGTACGTCTCATTGTGGCAGAGATGGGGGAGGATATTGTACAAGCTGCGTCCGCTGTTTTCATGTTATTAACCAATCAGATGACGCCACGTCACAAAAGTGTGATCGGAGCCCACGGTATGACAAAAACATGCATGGCCATTGCCATTAAATGTTGATCCAAGTGGAAGGAATTTGAATACCTTATGTATCATATTTTATGTTTGATTTTTGGAGTCATATGTATGGAGAAAAATATTACTCCTCCGGTCCTTAATATAGGACTCAATTTTTGAGTTGGTTTTGGTCCTAAATATAAGACCAATTTCTCATATTTATCAATTTTCTCTAAATTACCCCTATAGATACTCCCTCAACCATAATCAAATAGAAGAAGGAGAGGGGTATTAAAAAAGATAATTGTGGTGTTTTAGGAAAAATGTGTCACTTTTATTATAATTAACTAACTTACCTAACTTCCTTAATCTAATCAAATTAGTTAAATGGGTCTTATATTAAGGACCGGAGGAGTATTAGGAGGGGTTCTAACTATGATGACTGACAAAGCGACAATACTCTAAGAGTGTGTTTGGGATCACGGTGAAGGTCCTCAAACTGACTTCTCCACTGGTAAAAGTTGAAAAAAGTAACTTCTTGTTTAACTGCTTGAACAACAATGCCCCCAGTCCAGGTTGGAGGAACGATGTTATCCTTGAGAATCTACAATTCTCAAGGAATCGTCTAAGGAGCCACTCGTGTAGTTGGATCCTGAGAGAGGCAAATTCTGTTGCTGATTGGGTAGCTAGAGCCTCTTTGGCTGGGTCTTGCCCGACTGATTGGGTAATGAGACCGCCACCTCTTTTGCGTAAACTTATAGAATCTGATTTATGCAAAGCCAAAACTAATGTAGGGTGATATTTATTGCTAGATGGTGTTCTCACATGACTTTGTACTGTTGATTTATTATGGAATGAATTATTGTTGGCAAAAAAAAAAAAAAACTTCTTGTTTAAAAGAGATGTTTGGATTCACGGTGAAAATAAATGGACTTATAAGAGAAATGGACTTTTTTTTCATAAGCTGTTGCCTTCAGCTTCTTCGCATTTAGCTTTTCCGTCTGTCTTCCTGTCTACAGCTTCTCCACTACACACTTCGTGGGGCCCATGAGTGAGGGAGGAGAGAGAATACATTATGTGAGTTTTTTTTTCTAATCCAGCCAATTAGTTTTCAATATTAAAAAATTATTTTTTGAATAATAAAAATCATTTTTTAAAAATAGATTATTTATCTTTAAAAAATAACTATTTTTATTTTTATAATTAATTTTAATTTTTCTCTGAAAGTTATCACATTATAAATATATAAAATAAATATATATTGTTTAATAAAGTTTATATCCTTTTCAGTTATTTTACATTCAAATTTATTTTTACATTTATCATCCAAACAAGTTTCAGCTTCTCAAACTGATTTTTTTTCAAAATCCAATCCAAATATAAATCACATTATCCTATTTGACTTTTACTCAATCTAACTTCTGTAAAAGTCAGATTGAAAAAAAGCTACTTCTACTACTGCTATCTCAAACACACCCTAAAAAATTAGTCTTTTACCATTTAGGTGGGAAGATATCGTGGACCAAAAAAAAAAACTTGCATGGCCATTGATTGGTCCAAAAGAAACGCTTTCCCTATGATGTGGCGTAATATTGACGTCTTGTTGGCTCTTAAAATAGAAGGCAACACCCGTGGAGCGTTTTTACAAGCAAAATATCTGGTTTTCAACTTTTCATAATAAAATTTTAAATATATAAAATATAAATTATTACAAAATTCATTGCCTAAAATTGTACTTGAAGGTTCATCTACTGCAACTCATTTCTAAGTAGGAAAGTACAATTCATTTTTAGTGAATGTAACTTTTTTAATATTATCTTATCTCTAATTTTTAATATAAAAGCTAATTGACTAATTTGAATATATTAAAAAATTAATTAAATTAGTTATTTATATAAATATGTATTGCTTTCCTTAAAATATCATTACTAATTATGTATATTAGTTAAAACTACTATTTGCTAAAACCTTTAACATGTGTAAATACTATAAGGATTACTTTGGAACAGAATGGATAAATATATGAGATATAGTGGATTAAGATATTATATTTAGGATCAAATTGAATGTCAAATTAACTTTTACATTAAGAATCGGAGGCAGTACAACATATTTTTAGTTATGTGTAAATTTCAGGTATCTTTAGGCAATAAATTTTGCCATGAGAGATGTTTTCCAGCAATCTTCTCCAAAAAAAAAAAATTATCCACTACTGTTTTCTACTGCTTTTTTTTAAAAAAAAAAAAATTTTTATGCTCAGAGTTTATAATTTATAACAACTATAAAAATACTAAAATACTTGACTATCGATGTGCTAAGAAAATAATGAGGATAAAATTAACATACTCTATTATGCTTCCTAATCTAATTTTCCAGTCAAGTCATTTTTTTTTCTTTAATGCTTTTTAAACTAACCATCAAGTCCAGTGCTCTTGCCATTAATTGTTTGGCAATTTTTTCTTTTTCTAATTTAAAATTTTAAACTTCTAATATAAAAATCCCTAATTTCTTATTAGTTCCCCCCCTCGATGAAGCTCATTAGTTTGAATAAGCTGCATAGAAATATGTCAAATGGATTGGATTGGGTTAATGATAATATTAGTGAGACTGAAAAGAAAACTAAATATGTCAATTTCATAATAACATTGGGAATTTGATGGTAAGTATATAAGAGTACAGTGCTTTTTTGTCCCTAAGAAAATATTAATTATAAATCTTATCATGAAGATGGAATCAAAACACCTAATTTACCTGTTGGGAGAGGATCTTTAAATAAATTAGGAAATTAGGATAAAGTTAGAGAGAAATAATAAGATATGAATGAGCTCTATTTATGCAGGACTCTCAACAGTCCTATAGAATTGAGTCATATCTCTCGTTTTCTGTTTCACTTTAGATCCATACTTTAATTTTTTTTTTTTTGAAAACTTGATCATTTACTCCATATATATAAATAATTTTGATTTAATTACAGCCTAACTTCTGAAATTAAATTTGTCCTATCTAATCTTTTAGGTTTAAGCTATTTAATTCAATAGCTCATGCACTTTCAGAAAAATATATTGTCATTTAAACACAAAATATATAGAAATCAAAAGATTAAATTATTAAAACTTGAGGGATTAGGTTGTATGGAGTTAAAGTTTAGAGATTGAATTATAACTAAGTTAAAATGACAAAACCTGAATGGTTTTTTTCCCCTTTACTTTTTATTACAATCAACTAATTTATCCTAAAGGATATTCCTAATGTGGTTTCTTCCTACCGGTCCAACTATTGCTGGTAAGTGTATTGATTAAACGATCATGCAATCTCAGTCGTTTTCGGGTAGATAAGGCCGTCTATTCCTAAGCTCTTTAAACGGCACATGAGGCTTCTGCGAGAAAGCTCTGAACGACATCTTTCTTGTCGTGGTCCCCGTCGTAGCATTATTGGCGGGAGGCATAAGTTTGAGAGGGAAGGTGACCCTAGAAAGCTATTATTATCTTCAAGAAAATGCCACAACACAAAGTGGACAAAGCAACGAAAATGCTTCGTTTTTGCAGTTGTGAGTCAGGCTTCAAAATACGAAGAATAAAGACAATGGAAATGGGGAGAGGCAGATCAAACAAGTTTATATATATATATATAAACTAATGGTAGTATAATATAAATATTTTGACATATCCATATTCAACTTTTGAAATATATAATTAAATGAAATATGTCTTTTTTTTAATACTCTTTTGATCCTTAATATAAGACCTATTTAACTAATTTGATTAAATTGAAAAAATTAAGTAAGTTAGTTAATTATAAAACACTCCAATCATATTTTTCCTTAATATCATTTCTCCCTCTTCCACTTGATTATAGTTAATGAAATATGTATAGGAAAAATTTAGAAAAAAATTTGATAAACACAAGAAATAAATCTTATATTTCTCGATAATTAAGTTCTATATTAAAAATCGGAAGAGTACAATTTAATTGAACGGCTGTGGACACACAAAACCATGTCGATATAGGATCCGAGCTCATGATCTCATCTGAATATGGTAGATGATGCTGTTAGTAGAGTAGCTTCTTGTTGGTATCGCATAAAAATAATTAATTGTTATATTTGTGCTAAATTTTTTTTAGTAATATAAGCTATTAATAAATCTGTGAATATGGTCATCATCTATCTTGCTGTAGAAATTGAATATTAAATTTGAAAGAAAACCCCATAGAAAGGTACTTTTTTTTTTATAAAAAAGAAGAGTATAAATCTGGATTCTAAATGCAGTCATTTAAGATCAAGGATATTTACAATCTTGTTAAGACAATTTTATTATTCAGACTCTTTTTACGAGTAAAAGATTCAATTTGAACACTACCTCTGACATTGTAAAGTGAATTTTATATTTAGATTTAAAGATAGTACAAGTTATAACAATATGAGTCTTTTATGTCAAAAGATCCAAATTTTTCATAAACTTACTTAGATCTTTAAGAAGAAATTCTTATAAATCGTCCTAAGCTAATTATTCCATTTAAGTTGTGTCAAAAGTTCTGTAAAGGTTGGAAACTCTACTTTTTATCCTTTAATCAACAAATGACACTTTGAGCAAAGTTTTAACAACTCAATTGGCCATTAAATTAATGTTTTTTCTGGGAAATCCACAAAAAATGAGGGATGTTTCCTATAAAAATATTGCGGAATTTCCAATGAATAAAAAATCATCACTAGTATTATTTTATGAATAAAGACCGAAAATCATTGATTCATCAAGGAGCAGACTTAAAAGATTTTAGGCACTTCACTTAAAATCAGGAAATATTATAAAAACTTTTGAATATATTTTTGGGATGTGTGCCAATAATTTCTACCTGCTAATTAGTTGGAGATGCGGAGAGTTTGAAAACTCGTTGGAAGCATTTAAAAAGAACTACTTACAGTGGAAGCAAAATTCTTTTTCACATATTTACATAAATACTATAAATCAATTTTAAAAAGTTAAGCATATTTTAATTTTTAAAACTTAAGAATGAGCTAGATTGTTTGGATTGAGATAAAAATTTAATTAGTATAATGTAACTGAGATTCGATTGAGTTTTATTTTTTTCAGCTAGTTTCAGAAAAAGTTAGTTTGTGATAGCTTATTTAAATGACATATTAAAAAGTTAGCTTTAAAATATTGAAATTTAGTAAAAGTGATTCACTGAAAAAATCATTCAAGTCATTTGCCTGAATACTCATCCAACAGCATTTCTTTGGACTCTAACAGATTTTTAAAGGTATTGTTTGGTGTGAGGAAGTGGATGGGAGGGAAAGGGACAATAAATTTTAATAAGCTCTATTTAAAAAAATTAGAAAAATGGGATTTTGAAATTTTAATAAAAAAAGGGTAATATAAAAAAGTAATAAAAATTAATTAAAAACTTTTAACCCTATTTTAAAAATTTTTAAATTAAACTTATTAAAAAATTTTCCACTCCTTCCCTCTTCTCATTTTCTGTTGTACCAAGTGGATGCTAAAAATCAACTGACATATCAAGGCTTTCTCCCAGAAACACTTCTTTAATGATGAAAATCAACAAATCATTATTTGTTTTATAGAACTAGCTAATCTCCCACAAGTGCTCATATCTAGTGTATGATAATATTTTAAACATGTTTGTTTTCAACAAGATGCTTAAAAAAAAATTAACAAGTCACTAGAAAAAAGCGACCTTATTCTTTATTACAAAATTACTCTTTTAGTTTTAAATATAAAATTTTTATACATGTTAATATAAAAATTTTATACTCTTTCGGTCCTTATTATAAGACCCCATTTGACTTTTTATTTGGTCCTAATTATAAGACCTCAATCCATTTTGTCTCTTATATTTATGCATTTTTTTCCAAGATAATCCTTCTAATAATGATAGTTTTAACCAATATACTTAATTAGCAAGGATATTTTAGGAATGACAATACTTATTTATTATAAATAACCAACTTAACTTACTTCTTTAATCTCCTCAAATAAATCAATTGGGTCTTATAATTATAATTAGGATCGGAGGAGTATTTAGAAACAGGAGAAGAAATATTCTATTTAAAGAAGTCATTAAAAAGTGGACAGTACCCCGCCCTTCCCACATACCAGCAAAATTGCTGGGCAGTTGGATCATGCGGATAGTGTCAAGTGTTTGAAGTACTACTATAAGCTACTATGGGTTCCTTCATCGGTGCATTGTCGCTGAAGGAGATCACGACATCTTGTTTCCGCCATGGCTAATTCACAAAGCAGGGCTCCCTATCCGTATATGGTAAGTTCGTTAACAAAATTCAGTAACTTTCATTTTTACTCTATAAATTTTCTCCGGGGTTCTCTGTTGGTTTCTGTTGTTCATTTTCATTTATTCCGCAATAAAAACCCAATGGAACAATGTTTCGCATCTTATGCTCTTCTTCCTTGCACATATATGGATGGAAATGATAAATGCGGTGGTCGTTTCTGCGCGATTATTCTAGATTAACATGTGGTGGAATGGGTCAAACTGGATATTAGGGGAAGATGGGTATTTAAGATGTAAGATTTAGGGTTTTACTTGTTCAATGACTCAACTTTACGATCTGTATGCATTAGCTAGTTAGACTGTCAATTAACGAGCTTGCCACTCCAACCATCATTACAAAACATAACAGAACAAACGACTCTTACTAGGTTGGTTATCATTCCACACTGATAGATATCAGAAAGGCATCAGAAACTGATAGAGATCACTTGTTACTGGCTAGTTATCTTCTCTGATTTAGTTTGAGGCTTTGAGCATTCTCTTTCTTGAGACTAATTATATTGTTTTTCTTAGATTCACGTATAAGGAGAAGAATTTGACCTCCTTTCCCCCCATTTCCTTGTTTCTCATATTCTTTTTGTTTGTTTTATAATTATTAAACTAACTAGCATATTTCTTTTGTCCTATTTTCAGTCCTAGGTTTTAAACTGTAAAATGCACAAATAACGGATGACATCAAGTGATAGCCATTTCCTGATTCGATTTATCACCAGTGCTTTTATGGCTGTGGTTGAAATAAATTCCACATTTTGTAATCTGTACTGACCACTGAATAACGATGGAGACAAGCTAAAAAATTCCAAATCAATTCAGTGAGAAATTTAGATTCCTATGGAAGAAGCACATGGTTGTTCTATATCCGGTCCTCCTGAGTTGGTCTTATCTCATGCCAATGGTCAGAGGTCTATTTTCAATGGCCATGTGAAAAAGAGAGGTCATGCAAGTCGTTCGTGGATAAAAATTGATCAAGATGGGAATTCGCAGATTGTGACACTTGACAAGGCTTCTATTATGAGACATTGTTCTTTGCCTTCTAGAGATCTCAGACTATTGGATCCTATGTTCATTTACCCTTCTAGCATATTAGGGCGGGAGAAGGCAATTGTAGTCAACCTTGAGCAAATCCGATGTATAATCACTGCTGATGAGGTTTTCCTGATGAATTCCTTGAATGGCAGTGTTGGCAAATACAGGTCAGAATTATGCAATCGACTTCAGAAAGAAAAATCTGGTAAGGAGTCTAAATCTTTCTGCGGCAACATCGACATCATTGCATGATGCAGACACAGGAAAAATGGGTTATATGAGTTGAGACCAATATGATAGTTTACTGTTCCCAATGTTCTTTTATCACTTAGCACTCTCAGAACCAATGCAAATGATGGGGAAAAGACATCGAATGTTTGTGGTTCTTGTTTGATGGAAAGAGTTAATGGCAACAAACTGAAAATGATACATATCCTTGAACCTTCAGTAGCTTTTCTGATCTTGTGCATAAAATAAAGTTTGTTGGTTGTACTCAAATTGTGCTAAGTTTTTGGAGGTATTTGATGGCGGTAGCCACTCTGTAAAATTTCTGACACGTCTGTCTTTTTGGTCCAGATGATCTGCCTTTTGAATTTTGGGCCCTGGAGCTGGCTTTGGAATTGACATGCGCATTTTTAGATGCTCAGGTATTAATTGACCTGCATCATTGCATCCCTATTCGTTTTAGGTAATCCGCACCTTTTCAGCGGCGCCAGTATTACTTCTACACATTTTTTCCCATGATAGGTGGTGACATCGAATTGAAACTCTTGTCTATATTTTGGTTATATTGCTACTCACATTTCATGTGCAGTAAAGTATTCGTGTACCGCATTTTATCATTCTCTTTATTTTCTGGCATATTTAGCTAACTCACAAAACCAATGCTTTTTTACTCTCTATTGGCAGAATACTTTTTATTTCCCTGCAAAATTTATTTTAATTATCATTTATGTTTTCGTAGCTGCCCTTGACTGTTAGACATGAAAGATGAGTCAAACAAGCTGGGGGCTATTGGAGCCTATATATTATCATGCAATAGAAACTGAGCATTTGCTGGGGCGATGTAAAATTGTGGATTCTAACCCGCTGAGTGTCATCTTTATTAGAATGATGAAGAAACATTTTTCTTCATTAGATGTTAAATTTAGGATGCAACATAGGCCAGAATTGGTTGTCTGAAAAGATGCATGGTTTTATGTTATGGATTTTGGTTAAATAAGTTATTGCTTTTGACTGCCTCCTTTATGTTGTAGATTCCAGGGGTATTGCTATTGGCTGCCTTAACTGCTCTCATAGCTTAATCTTATTATTGAGCCTACTCATTTGTGTGCGCGTGCGTTCCTCTCTCTTCTCTTTTGGTTTTTGGTTGAGCTGGCTTACATCATTGTAGAATTAATATTGTTCACACCCACACACCCCACACGTGTTGTGTGTGTGTGTGTAGATTCCGCTAAAGTTATTTCAGGAAGTATATCTCTAAGTCATTGGCAGTGGTCATTAATATTGAAGTAATAATACTGTCAGCTCTTATCTCTTAGATTAAGAAAGTTGTCGATTTAGTAGGTCAATGAACTGGAAATGGAAGTATATCCAGTGTTAGATGAACTGGCCTCATCCATCAGTACTCACAATCTAGAACGTGTTCGGAGATTTAAAGGTCATCTACTTGCATTGACTCAGCGAGTTCAAAAGGTTGATAAAACTAATCGTCTTCTGTTAGGACATTATTTAGTCTCTCTACCACCGGAAATTAGTAATGCATGTTAACTACCAGGTTCATGATGAAATAGAGCAACTCATGGATGATGACGGTGATATGGCTGAAATGTGCCTGAGCGAGAAGAAGAGAAGATCAGATCCTCGGTCTTCAAATGACCTTGGTCTTCCAACCCACAGGTCAGGTAGAGCTAGAGTGATCTCAAAATCAGCTCCTGCTTCACCAGATAGGTCCATTAGTGGGGTCCAGATGTTACAAAGGGCTTTCAGCAACATTGGAAATTCGAGTAAACACGAGAGTCTGTCAAGTTCTTCTAATAATGCGGAAAAGATTGAGCCACTGGAAATGTTACTTGAAGCGTACTTTGTCGTCATTGATAATACTCTTACCAAGTCATTATCGGTAAGAGAAATTTGACTAACTCAAAACTAGCTTCTCTGGCTAATCCATGCTACTTACAAATTTCAATATCGGTACATTTTATAAATAAGGTATTTATATCACCTGAGTTGCTGCGATATTTCTTCAACCAATTGATCTTCTAATGAGAAAGCTACTTGTGACAATCAGCTTCTTTATTTTCCTTAAAACACATATACTTGAAAACGCATATCTATGCACACACACACACACACACACACACACACACACACAGGAAAGATCGGCATATAATTTGATAATTTGAAAGGTGGTGCGTTGACCAGACCTTGAGAATATTTGCTTTTGCTGGTGATGCAGCTCAAAGAATATATAGACGACACTGAAGATTTTATCAACATAAAATTGGTATGCTGTGATTGACCATTGGCACTTTATTTCTGTCAAATCCTTTTCTTCTTCCACATGCCAAATTGTGTACACCAGATTTTCTTGACGGTTCTATACATGCGTATGACAGGGCAATATTCAGAACCAACTCATACAATTTCAGTTGCTGCTTACAGGGGCAACACTGATGGCTACAGTATTTGCTACTGTAACGGCAGTTTTTGGAATGAATTTTGATACCCCAGTTTTTGATGATCCATATGGATTCAATGTGGTTGTGATAGCCTCAGGAATTGCTAGTGCGGTTTTGTACTTGTCCTTCATAGTAGTTTTTAGGTTCAAGAAAATTCTTCCAGCATAAACTATACTCCACTGGGATTTTGAAATCCAAATGGATAAATCTTATTGATGGCAGTGCAGGCTTCAACAGACTCATCTATCTGTTGGTAAATGGTAAAACAGAGAACTTCTTTTTAAGTCTTTAACCCATGGAGTTTACCGTACATGTGTTCACCAAGCCGATTATGGTTTAGACATACGAATGCGGGCTTGGAACCATGTTTCCCAAAGCGTGGTTATGGCAAGGTCTCAACATTAGTTTCAAACACATTGACATTTGGCAGTAGCATATTAGAAACGAGTTTGATTGAAGAGTGATATGACTATAAAATGCCTATTTGTTAACTTGTATTTATCTTGTCCTTCAAATTTTGTTTTCCTTTTTTTAAAAAAACAGAAGATGTTTTGACATAGTTTTTTTTTTCCTCTCACTTTTACAGAGAACTGAATCATTTTTAATATGCGTCACTTCATTTTCACTATGATATACTGAGTTGTTACGATTCAGTTTCTACCATTTCCTATTTTTGATTCTCAGTCCATCCGTACAACCTCATTGATTAACCTATTGCTTTAAGTCCTCTCATTTAATTTTATAAACCTACTTCAAAATGAAATAAAGAGAATCATATATGAGATCTATTATAAGCACCTTTTATATTGGTTGAAGCTTTTGAAGGAGACGAAAGAAATTCAACAAGAGAAAAAAAATTGAAAGATTTTTTAGGGGAAATGACATTTAGTGACCAATTGATAGCTTTTTATTTTTTTTTTCCTGTCAGAAGACTAAGATGTAAAAATCATAAGATGTCCGCAACGTGCTTAAGTTCAAAATAAAATAATAATAAAATACCATTCCCTAAAAAATTTTCCGCCTTCTAATAAACCCTGCCGTCATCTCCCTCGAAGTCGGAGAGATACAGGAGAGGTGAGCGAATTAATGCTTTCATCACAATTCGGTTAAGTGTGGAGAAACAGAAACAGGGAGCGAGACACAGAGAAATGCAGGGAGAGCTTCGGTGAAAAATGTAAAAATGAGAACGGAGGAGAGAGCGAGATCGAGGAAAGCCAAGAAAGAGAGACAACCCATAGAGAGAGCACAAAACAGAGGAGAAAAGGAGAGTGGATGGGGATAGAGAGGTCGGAGAGGAAGACGGAGACAAGGAGCAGAAGCAACAGCCAACAGGGAAGAGCCAAACCGGCGGTGATGAAGATTCTAAGGGGCAACTTTCTTGAACCCTTCAATGATCGATGAAGTTTCTGAATAATCTGCCTGTAATGCAAAATCAAGTTGGCATAAATTGATTTTTGGTATTTATCTTCAATACAAAGGCAGCTAAAAACTGATCAACTTCCGAAATTTGTGCAAAAGCTCTTGAAACAAACAAAACCCGATGAACTTTGAGGCAAAAAACCCGATGAATTTTCGAAATTCATCAAGTGAGGATTTCACACATTTGATATTTCATAGGAAATGATAATTTGTGTTGGTGCTTGCTTGGTCCTGGGCGGGGTACTCAAACACTCACTCAACACAACAAAACAAAACTGATCGCACACACCAAACCCAATATACTTGCCCCATGACTACGCCCAAAACTCATCTCTTTCCTGCACTTTCTGTGTTATCCATTGAGTTGTTACAATTCAGTTTCCATCATTTGTTACTTTCCATCATCCATCCATTGGCACAATTTCATCGTGCAGGTGTTGTTCATCAATTAACCTACTGCTTGCGATATTCTCATTTATCCCTATACAGCAATGTGCATCTCCATTTATTTCTTGTCCGTCCAAACTCTCCTGCAACAACAGAAGCTTCTCCAAACTACTAAGCACTTCCCCCATAGTTGGCCTATCTTTGCTCTTTTCTGCCAAGCACTTGATGCCAATATCTGCAAACTCCTTGAGGCAACCTGATGGAACTCTTCCTTTTAAATGCGGGTCCATCATTCTATGAAATTCCCCAGAGAGATGACACTGCCAAGCCCACTCAACCAAGCCAATCTTCTCGCCATCCTCTTCCACTGCCATAGGATTCACTGCTGGCCTTCCACAGAACACTTCAAACAGCACCACCCCAAATGAATAAACGTCAGATTTTTCAGTTAGCTTTCTTCTCCTGTAGTATTCTGGGTCTAAATAGCCAAATGTACCCTTTACATCAGTGCTAACATGGCTGCGGGATGCGGAAGTGGGGCCACTTCTAGATAACCCAAAATCTGCAATTTTAGCTACGAGATTGTGATCCAACAATATGTTGGATGACTTGACATCTCGGTGAATAACTGGGTGCTTTGTGCCTGTATGGAGGTAATGTAACCCTCGAGCTGCAGCAATACAAATCTTTATTCTCTGATTCCAAGGTAATGGCTGTTTCTTTGTTTTGTATAAGTGATCGCGAAGAGTGCCTTCAGCCATGTATTCATAGACAAGTATCAGCTCATTGCCCTCGTGACAGTAGCCTAGCAACGACACTAAATTCATGTGACAGAATGAGGATAACAAATTGATCTCGTTTTGAAACTCTCTATATCCTTGGTGGGAAGTCGGATTACAGCGCTTTATTGCCACATTGGTGCCTCCATCGCGGATCAATCCTTTGTAAACTTTGCCAAAGCCTCCCTCCCCAATGACATGAGCCTGGCTGAAGTTGTTCGTGGCTGTTCTGATCTCTGCTAATGTGAATCGGTAGCACTGACCTGAGCTGACTCTTACATGCAAATTTTTGGGACTTTTGCCCGCTGAGTTTGATGGCACCACCCGAAAAGGTCCCCACTTAATTCTCTTCCCTGATTTCCGAACAAGAATGAAAAATGTAATGAGCAATCCGAAGATGACACCAACAGTGCTTCCAATAATAATGCTGTATAGAGTTTTTCCCTCCTTTTGTTCCATTTTCAGTTGAATACTAGCTGCAAGATTGTGGCTACTGTCGCTTAACTTGAGGATCTCAATGCCATTCAGTATGGCATCAGTATACTTGGGTTTTGACTTCATGTTGGGGTGAAGGGCAATCCACATATTTTGCTTCCTCCCATTTCCCACAGGAACCATAGCCACGTAGTCTCTGTACAAGGTGACGAGTGGAGCACCAGTCAGAGCAACTAAGTCCATACTCTCCTCTGCTGTTTGGTTGTTGATATACACCTTGAACACCCTTTGGTTGACCTGGGTTATCTCCATGGATATCTCGCAGAAATGAAGCCTGATAAGGTACTTGAAACCGGAATCAACAGGGAATGACCATGTTAAGTTGTACCTCGTGTACTCTTCGTTGATACCCATTGTCCTGGCGGTCCAATAAAGTTCTTCTGGTGCTGAATAATTATAGTCATTGGATTTGGAAGAGTTGTAGGTCATTTTACCTGTTCGAAGCTTAATATCAAGGACACTTCCGTGTTTAAAGCCAGCTATGTAGCTTAAATCATCACTCCATGTCCCAAAAACATTTATAGCGTCAGCAGAATAATAATCATTTCCGACATTAACCCGGTAAAGCGTTTCAAGAGCGTAGTCATCATTAATGAAGAAAGGTACCCGATGCCCAACATAAGGAAGGGGGCTGTGGGGACCTGGAAAGTAAATACTGAGAGGCACCGAGAAGATCTCAATACCATTTACGAAGGCAAGTGCATTGGAAACTAGAGATTCTGGGATGAAAATTAGGTCAAGTCTCTTTGCCTCGACGTTGACTAAGAAATCCTTAGTGAAGAAGGCTGATTTGAGCTCGTTAGCAGCAATAGATGGGCTGAAATGACTCAACAGAGTGTAAGGACCTGTTTTAACAGAAAAGTAAGCCTTCGAGGAGCTTAGTCCCAGGTATGAAGTTGAAAGAAAGTAAAAACGGATGAATACAAGGACATGGGAGAAGGGGAAAGAGTATGTGAATGGAGAATGAATCACGCGTGCGGTGGAGTATGGGATCTCTGGAACTGCAGAGCTCAGGTTTGAGATGAAGCGTGCAGAAGATATTTCGTCATACGCTGGAGGCAAAAAATGGTTGTGAGTGTCACCTATCCATTTTGCTCCATTGAATTGCGATGCTTCCAAAGAACCACAGTCGAGGAGGATTCTATCTGAAGGGATGTCCGTTGAAGAACAGGTTTTCAAAGCAGTTAATAGAAAGGAGAGATGCATCACAAAGCTCAGAACATACTTGCATAACTTTAGTGTGTGGTTTTCCTTCATGGAGAGGCTGATCTGCAGAAATATTTGGAAAAAAGAGATGAGCGGAAGGATTGCCTTGTGCATTTTGTTAGAAAATTATCTTTGGAGTTCGGGCTATGAATCTGATTAGTCTCGCTTGTTGTATTGTAGAGAGTTGGTGCGAGTTTGTCTGATCCACGCGCAGTGTCCAATTCTTGACGTGCTTCAGTCAAAAGAAGCTATTTCCTCCGTTCTTATTATAAGAGACATTTAATACTTGTGGTATATTCTTATATATAAGAGATATTTAAAAGTTGTTTCTATTTTTTTGTGTTGATTTCTTATTTTACCCATATTTATTATCTCCAACTCACTCTCTCTTCCTCCCACTTTTCTTTCTTTTAATAATTTAATTGTTCTCTCTCATACTCTCTCTCCTTATTAATAAGGGCAGTTTTAGGAAAAAAAATATACTTTTTACACATTAATTATTTTTAACTAATTTTAACCGTTTTTTTAATTAACGTACTTCGGTTATTTGTCCCTTATAATAAGAAACGGAGGGAGTACTACATCCACTTTTTAACGTAAAAGTTAGTTAAAAATTAATTTTGGTTCATATGAGATGTCAATCAATATTGTTCCTCTAAATTTATAATTCATTTCTTAAAATATCCGTTATACATGTCAAGGGGTTGTCATTTAAGAATAGTCATAATTTGAAAAAAAAAAAAAACTAAAGGGTTGTCATTTAAGGGTAGTCATAATTTGATAAAAAAAAAAAAACTAAAGGGTTGTCATTTAAGGGTGGTCATAATTTGATAAAAAAATTAACTTAACTAATTTTTTTAATTTATTTAGATTAGTTAAGTAACTTTTATATTAAGAACTAATAATATTAAAAAAATAGGACAAGTCTGTCGCAGTGTGAAGAGGGAGCAATTAAGTATGAAATTTAAACTTACATGTTGTAGCATGGAAATGGGCAAATGCAATGGATGGAAACCATCTGCACCGTTGTTTTTTCCCCACTTTTAATGTACAGAAAACACACCAAAGGTAAACAAACCGGCCAATCGGTACTCCCTCTAGTCCCTATTTTATTAACCTGCCATATGTTTTAAAATATACTATCTCTTGCTCTAAATATAAGAGCTAGTTGATTAATTTGAATAGATTAAAAAAAAGTCAAGGTAGTTATTTGTCATAAATAGGTGTTGTCTTTCCTAAAATATCCTTGCTAATTAAGTGTATTAACTAAAACTACTATTATTAGAAGGATTACTTTGAAAAAGAATATATAAATATGAGAGAAAAATTAGATTGAGATCTTATATTTAGAATTAAAATAAAAATCAAATAATGTCTTATATTAAGAACCGAAAGTACTGGCATGTTTTATCTAAAGGATTAAATTTTTCACCTAATATCCCTATGCGTAAAACTTCCTAATTAGTAAACCTAACTCCTCCAACTAATGATTTTGATTGAGGATAATTTTGAGATTTTATTAAAAAAGATTTAACTGACATTGTTATTAATTTATGTAAAGTTGATAATTGGAGCGTATGAAAAGGATCCGAGGGAGTATTAAATAAATATAACACTAATCCAGCTCAACCCCAGCTGAGTTATTTTCGTCATCCAATCCCGTCTTGCATCTTTATCTCTGAATTTGATGTTAATTAAATTATTTTGATATGTAATACGATTGCTTTTGATGGTGATGAAGTGATGCAGATTAACTAATTCTCTGCTTCTCCTCTCTTCTTCTTCCTCTTCTCTAACTTCTCATCCCTTCCAATCCTGTCTTGTTTTACACCATGAAGCTTTTAGGCTTTAGCTTGTCTTCCCTTCCTTTATTTTTCCCGTCACTCTCACCCATCCTTTCGTTGGATTGTATGAAGACATTTGTACACTTGGTTCTGAGATTTCAAAGCTTACCAACAACGAATCTTGGTATGATCAGATTCAGTCTAATTTAATTTAGCATTCTACAATTGGCAGCTGACTAGAAATTTCATATGAAAATGAAACAAGGTAGAACTTTCCAATTGTTCTGTTACCTAACTGGACATAACACATCGACACCCAAATGCATAGTCTTCAAATTAATTAAATTCCAATGATGTTTCTGATATTCTACCTTCCGTTCATAAGATGAATTTTGTAATGCAAATTTTACTACAAGTGAATCTATCTGATTGGCCTCACTGGTTGCAGAGAGTTTAGTTGTTTTTTTTTTTTTTTGGGTTTTCATAATAATATAAAATTTAGGTAAGTTGAGTCCTAAATACTCATCAAGACTAGAATATGCTATCAGACTCAAAAAATGCTCACAAAATCCAGTAACAAAGTTTTTATATTAGTAACAGGAATTCAAATTCTCAATTTTATGAATTATGAGTTGACTATTTATCAACTAAACTAACTCTTATTGATGGATACGGGGAGTTAACGTGACTTGAAGTACTCTTCCTAGCGCCCGGCAAAGACAACACTCCAGGTTTGCTTGGTCTGCACGGAGCGCACTCACACACTGACCAATTCCTCAGCAGCAAGGTTGGGTCAGGTTCCTTCTTGAACTTGCTCTACCTTCTATGTTTTATTCCATGCCCTAAACTCTAAAATGTCCATATTAATTATATAATTTTTTTTTCATTTTATATAATTAGTCTTTTTATCCAAAAAAAAAAAATTCTTGTACTCCAGTGTTTTAAATGGATATCACTGATGTCAAGGAGAGCTAGTGTTCTGCTACTGTTGGTTTTGTTGGCGGCAGCAAAGGAGGAATAGCAAATCCGGTTCGAGTCGCGTCACAAGGACACTGTCTTTGAGAGATATTCCGCAACCCCTCGGTGCAACAGGCAGCGGCACTCCTCAGGATCAAACGAACCCTTCCTGCGAAGCAAGGCAGCAGAACAGCGAAAGTGACTGTAACAGGAAACACAGCGGGAGAGAAGAGGAAGAGGATGGAACAGTGTATAATCACGCTGCCTGGACAGTCCCTTATATAGGCGCGAATGGCCACATCACCGGAGGACGCATCCCTCTGTTTCGCCGAGCGGGTACGACCGAAGCAACGTAAGGTTCCGTTGGAGACGGAACAATGCGAACGTTGGTGTACACAACGTTCGCCGCGTTTAATTCACGCGCAGGGGGGAAATCGCCGGTTTACAACTGCGTTTCCCTCCTGGTGGCCTGTTGTTGTGTGCGCGAGGCCCACTTCCCTCTTGGCCCATTTACCCCCCCAAGGATGCTTGATCTCATTTATACACTTAGACTTCTTCTCATCTTTCCCATGTGGGACTTTATTTGACACACATATTGCATTATTTCACAACAATCCCCCACATGTGTCAAATAAAGAGCCAGAGTTACACACATGGGCATAATCATTGTATCTAGTGGTTCTTGCAACTATGAACTAGACCTAGACTGATAACACTTAGTACACAGAGATGCCAGTGAAGCCTGCTTCTATGAACTGTCATCTCTTCGGCGTGTACTAGAGGCATTAAAAGTCAGATTATACCCCCACATTTCCGTTGTTAACGACGGTTTTGCGCGTTATAACGGCCGTGCGCGTGCCTGGTGCATAACGAATGCTCTAGAGATTTTGCCATGATCTCATAGGAGCGGCCCCACTCCACATTCGTAGAGGTGATTTCATTTAAGTGTACCTGCATTGAATACACCATCCCGTAGGATTTGAAATCATTAAGAGCTTTGCTCAACCCTCCAATATGCAATCTAGCACTTTCTCGCACATCATAGGAAGGGACTAGTAATTTTGGTTTGGTGCTAGCAGTACTAACGAGCGACTTGTTCTTACCCATTGAACCTTCTTCATGGGATCACCAATCACAAAGGTTGGGTTCCATCGCTGTCGTAATCATACTGGCTTTAGTCCCATTCCCCTCTATGTTTCGATAATTTGTTTCCTCCCTAGGGGTTTTGTTAATGGATCTGCTAGGTTCATTTCTGACCTCACAAAATCGATTGGGATCACCTCGTCCTTTAGCAGCTGCCTTAAAATATTGTGTCTCAATCGAATGTGTCTGCTTTTGCCATTAAATGTTTTATTTTTGGCCGTGGCTATTGATGCCTGGTTATCACAGTGTAATGATATTGATGGCGTTGGCTTGTCTCCCAATGGGATATTTGCTAAGAAGTTTTTCAACCACTCAGCCTCTGTACCAGCCAATTCCATGGCAACTAACTCAGAATCCCTTGAGGATCGAGTTATGATGCTTTGTTTGGCTGACTTCCAAGTGACAGCTCCACCACCAAATGTAAAAACATAACCGCTAGTGGACTTTGTCTCGTCTGAATCTGAGATCCAATTAGCGTCACTGTATCCTTCTAATACAGCGGGAAATCCACTATATAGTATACCATAATTCATGGTACCCTTCAGATATCGTAATAATCTCTTCAGAGCTTCCCAATGTTCACTGCCTGGACAGTGAGTATATCTGCTCAATCTGCACACAGCATATGCTATGTCTGGCCTGGTATAATTCATCAAATGCAACAGACTCCCAATAATCTGTGCATACATAGATTGAGCAATCGGATCTCCTTTATGCTTCTTTAGATGCACACTAGCATCATAAGGGGTACTCAAAGGAGTTTCATCATAATGTTCAAACTTTCTCAGTATTTTCTCAACATAATGTTCCTGAGAAAGTAAGATGCCATTCTCATTTCTTGTGATTTTAACACCTAAGATAACTTTTGCTTCACCCAGATCTTTCATATCAAAGTTTGAATTAAGAAACATTTTTGTTTCAAGCACAACATTCATACTGGTTCCAAAAATAAGCATATCATCCACATATAAACAAATAATCACACAATCATTATTCACAACTTTAGTATAAACACATCTTTCTACTTCGACAGTAGAGAAACCATCACTCATTAAAACTTGATCTAACTTCTCATGCCATTGTTTGGGTGCTTGTTTTAAGCCATATAGAGATTTTACTAACTTACATACTTTGTTTTCTTGCCCAGGAACAGCACACCCTTCAGGTTGTACCATATAAATTTCCTCTTCTAAATCACCATTTAGAAATGCTGTTTTGACATCCATTTGATGTATAAATAGCTTATGAATTGATGCTAAGGCAATAAGGATTCTAACAGATGATATCCTTGTAACAGGAGAGAATGTATCAAAATAATCAATATTTTCCTTTTGGGTAAAACCCTTAGCTACAAGCCGTGCTTTGTATTTATCTATGGTTCCATCAGGAAAATATTTTTTCCTAAAGACCCATTTGCAACCTATAGGTTTTGCTCCTGAAGGCAAGTCTACCAAAACCCAAGTTTTATTTTTATTTAAGGAGTCTATTTCATCTTTAATTGCTTCTTTCCAAAGCTCTGCATCCGGAGAAGAGATTGCTTCATAAAAGTTTCTAGGTTCATTTTGTACTAAAAATGTGTAAAAATCATCTCCAAAGGATGTTTCCTTTCTCTGTCTTTTACTTCTCCGTAATTCTTCAGTCAAAACTTGATTTGTTTTTTCTTGGAAAGAGGCAGAAGGATTTTCAACACCTTTGGGAATATGCTCAACTTTTAATGGAAAAATGTTTTCAAAAAATTCAGCATCCTTTGTTTCAGTAATTGTGTTTTGATTCAAAACTAAAAAACGATAAGCAGCACTTTGTTGAGCATAACCAATAAACATACAGTCAACAGTTTTAGAACCAATTTTCCTTTTCTTAAAATCAGGTAATAAAACTTTTGCAAGGCACCCCCACATTTTCAAATATTTAAGATTAGGTACAAAACCTTTCCACAACTCATAAGGTGTTTTGTTAGTTTTCCTATGAGGTATTCTATTTTGTAAAAAGCAAGCAGATAACAAGGCTTCACCCCATAAGTTATCAGGTGCACCAGAACTCACAAGCAAAGCATTCATCATCTCTTTTAAAGTTCTATTTTTCCTTTCTGCAACTCCATTAGATTCAGGCGAGTAAGGAGGTGTTATTTCATGTATTATTCCCTCTTTTTCGCAAAAATCATTTAGTAATAAATATTCTCCTCCTCTATCAGATCTAACTCTTTTAATTTTCCTACTTAGTTGATTTTCTACCTCTGCCTTATATAAGATAAATTTTTCAAAGGCTTCATCTTTATTTCTTAACAGGTACACCTTAGTGTATCTAGAATAATCATCAATGAAGGTGATATAGTATCTTTTACCACCTCTAGTCTCTGTTTGTTTCAAATCACCTAAATCAGTATGTATTAATGACAATAACTCAGTCTCTCTTTGTGTAGGAAAATGTGATTTTTTCGTCATTTTGGTTTCTGCACAAATTTCGCATTTACCAATATTATTACTTTTAGTTTCAGAAATTAATTTAAGGTGTTGCAACCTTTTGATGTATTTCCTATTAATATGCCCTAATCTAGCATGCCATAGATCATAAGAATCAACCAAGTAAACAGAAGAAGATGCATTATCATTCATATCGACACTTAGTACAAAGAGACCTTGATTACAGTAACCCTTCCCCACAAGAACATTGTTCTTTGTCATCACAATTTTGTCAGACTCAAATGACACTTTCACCCCAGCCTTTCCCAAGAGAGCCACAGAAATTAAATTTGCTCTCATATCGGGCACATACAGAACATCATTTAGCACTAGAGACTTCCCAGATGTGAGTTTCAGCACCACTTTTCCCTTTCCCTGAACCTTTGCAGTTCGGGAGTCAGCGAGATAAATTTGATCTTCCCCTTCTTCGAAGGAGGTATACATTTCCCTGTTTGCACATATGTGCTTGGTAGCCCCAGAGTCTACCACCCATTTTCTCACATCAGAGATGAGGAGGGCCTGAGAAAGCATTGCAGCAATTACTTCATCATTGTCGCTGTCATCTCCTTCAACCAAATTCACATTTGGCTTGGGAGGATTTTCATCCTTTTGAAAACTTCCCTTAGCCCTCTTCCTGCACTGTGCTGCATAATGTCCAGGTTTGCCACAAACAAAACAATTGCCCTTCTTCTTGAATTTGGAGTTAGTGCCTTTGGGTTTGTAATCAGGTTTCTTATTTTTCTGTTTCTTTGAGTTAGGATCGTACCTCTTGTTGCGTGGTTTTGTTTCCACTAGGTTTGCTTTGGCAGCCGTCTCTTTCTCTTTCGTTGCTTGTATTGTCCTTCTGTTGATATCTTCAATGATGATGTGAGTGATCAAGCCAGTAAGCGACAATTGTTTCTGTTTATGCTTGAGTTGTTGTTTGTAGTTGTTTCATGAGGATGGTAGCTTTTCAATCAGGACCCCAGCGATGAACTCGTCAGGAAGATTGATCTTTTCAGCCCGAAGTTCCTCCAGTAATTTGTGGTATTCATTGATTTGAAGCTTGATGTCTTTGTCATCGGTCATCTCCCACCTATAGAAGTTTCCGACCACGAATTTCTGCTTCCCAGCGTCCTCAGCAGTATATTTGAGAACCAATGATTCCCATATTTGCTTGGCCTCTTTGTAGACGCTGTAGATGTCAAATAAATCATTAGATAGTGTACTGATCAAAGTGTGCCTGCATACTTTGTTGGCCTGGTGCCACATATCCTTCTGTCCTTGATCAGCATCTGCAGCAGGTTCTGATTGAGTCAGCGCATTGACAACTCCATGCATGTCCAGAATTGTGTAGACACGTTCTTGCCACCGCCTAAAGTTGCTTCCATCGAACATTTCTATCTTGGATGTGTCAGGGAATGGCCTAGGAAGCGGTATGGTTGCCGGGACGTTCAGGGGAACGCTGACAGGAACAGCACTGGAGCCAGCAGCGTCGTTGTTTGCAGCCATTGTTCAGGATATCTCTCAAGATTGTTGGCGGCAGCAAAGGAGGAACAGCAAGTCCGGTTCGAGTCGCGTCACAAGGACACTGTCCTTGAGAGATATTCCGCAACCCCTCGGTGCAACAGGCAGCGGCACTCCCCAGGATCAAACGAACCCTTCCTGCGAAGCAAGGCAGCAGAACAGCAAAGCGACTGTAACAGGAAACACAGCGGAACAGCGGGAGAGAAGAGGAAGAGGATGGAACAGTGTATAATCACGCTGCCTGGACAGTCCCTTATATAGGCGCGAATGGCCACATCACCGGAGGACGCATCCCTCTGTTTCGCCGAGCGGGTACGACCGAAGCAACGTAAGGTTCCGTTGGAGACGGAACAATGCGAACGTTGGTGTACACAACGTTCGCCGCGTTTAATTCACGCGCAGGGGGGAAATCGCCGGTTTACAATTGCGTTTCCCTCCTGGTGGCCTGTTGTTGTGTGTGCGAGGCCCACTTCCCTCTTGGCCCATTTACCCCCCCAAGGATGCTTGATCTCATTTATACACTTAGACTTCTTCTCATCTTTCCCATGTGGGACTTTATTTGACACACATATTGCAGTATTTCACAACAGGTTTTGTTTATTATTATATAAAATCATATTTTATTACCGTATGGATTTTGGAATGATCTAATAGTTTAGAGCTGCGTTCCCACATAGATTGTTTTTCTTCATTTTTTTTTCCCCCTTAACTGTTATGCACCGAATTTCTATACCTGAATGGATGTAGTGACTTTCCACCACAAATACCCGCACATTCCCCCCAATGACCAAGTAGTTTCTTACATTAATGATTTTATTTAATATATGAGGACTTCTGCACTTGGTTAAAAAATTTAATGGCTCACCTCCAACGAATCTATGTCTGGTTTCCAGATCCTAAACCTGATTCGGTCAAAAGAAATTACTCCTCCGGTCCTAAATGTAAGACGCTTATACTAGAGTGTATAAGGGTCTTACATTTAGGACTGGAGGAGTAATTAAAAATCAAAATATTAATTTTCAAGGACCTTTTAATTTCTTTATACACGTTCCTTTAAAAATTATAGTATAAAACTCCCAAAAATTTTACCTTGTGAATTACGATAACATAATACTCGCTTCTTTGCTTCAACATACTTTGTTCTTGTAAAAATATCTTCCAAGTTAAAATGTTCTCCATTTACTTATTGTAGAGAGGCATTGGCCACTCTTACTTGCAAAATTCGTCGCTGTTCTCATCGAAGAAAATTGGTGAAGGATAAAAATTAGCATATCATCATGGTAGAAATCCTTACTGTCTTACAATAATTATCATTTAAAATATATGAAGAATACAACGATCATATTTTCCTCCTACAGAAATAATATGTTATGTTGTGCCCCAATCACAAGTTTACAATTTTGATTCTTGTACAGTAGCTTTTGTTAGGAAATACTTTCATCTTCCAATGGGTATCATGATCTCGGAGAACTCAATCCCAGGTGTCAAATCTGAGTTGCCCTGTGAATGGCTATTTTCCGTTCTGTTGCGATCCCTGGTTGGTGCCATATCACCCTTTCTCTGAAGCTGCAGTGCCAGCACGAGGCTCTGCAACACATCACTCATGATGGGGCGCTCTACCCCTTTCTCAGCCAAGCATTTCCTGGCGACCCCAATATATGTCTCAAAAGATTCTGCTGCTATCTTACCTTCAAGGTCAGGATCCACTAATTGAGTGGCAATGCCATTCTCACAGCAATACAGAGCCCAATCTGCCAAGTTACTATGTTCATCATCTTCAACTGGACTAACAGCAAGCCTGGCACTTATCACCTCCAACAACACCACCCCAAATGAGTACACATCCGATTGCTCGCTCAACTTGTGATGCCGAAAGTACTCTGGATCTAAGTATCCAACACTGCCCTTGACGTTGGTGCTGACTAAGGCTCGGTTGCTTGCCTTTGACAAACCAAAGTCTGAAATTTTGGCCACCCAATTATGGTCTAGGAGTATGTTGGTTGTCTTGATGTCGCGGTGGATGATCTTGTGCTCTGTGCCAGTGTGGAGGTAGTGTAAACCACTTGCAACTCCGATGCATATCTCAAGAAGTTGAACCCATGACAAAGGTAGTTCTTCCCTCGACGATCTCAAATGAAGATGATCAAACAGAGTACCATTGGACATATATTCATATGCCAGTATCATCTCTCCCTCGTCTTGGCAATGACCCAAAAGAGAAACAAGGTTGTGGTGGCGCAGCTGGGAGAGCACATGGATCTCTGTCTCAAATTCTAAAGCACCTTGTTCTGACATTGGATTGCTCCGCTTTATGGCTACAAAGGTAGACCCTTGATCAAAACTAGCCTTGTAAACTTTGCCAAACCCGCCGATGCCAATGACCAGAGCCTCATCAAAGTTATTTGTCGCCTCTCTTATCTCATCCATGGAGAAATGACGGCGAAAAGATGACTTCTGAGGTTTTCTAACTTGATTAGGAATAAAGATCAGTAGCTTACGCCATGAAATCTTCCTTGGCTCAACTGGTTTCAACACGTAAACAATCAGGAAAAAGAGAATCGATACTCCTAGTGCCCCAACACTTAGTCCACATCCAATGATGATGAATACCAATCTCTTCGGCTTTTTTGACACTGCAACATGGGGCACTGGCACAACTGACTCAGACTTGCTACTGTTAGGGTTGACTCCTGCAAGATTTCCATCCCAATTGCTAAGTTTGAAGATCTCTACACCATTCAAGAAAGCATTATAGTGCTGAGCTTTGCTCTGCACATCTGGATAAAGGTCTATCCAAATATCCTGCTTTCCCTCGCTAGTTTCAGGAACCTTCACTACAAAGTCTCGGTACACAGGAATTCTAGGACCACCACTCACAGCAATTACATCGAATTGATCCTCAGCTGTTTGATTATTTAAATATATAATAAAAGCTATCTGATTCACCAAAGTTATGTCTCGGTAAATAAGACAGAAGTGGAGCCTAATGAGATAATTGAAACCAGAATCAATCGGGAAGAACCAGGACAGATTATAGTTTAAATTAAGACGTTCATCTGAAAAGGGCGTCATTGCCCGGGCTGTGCGATAGACAAGTTCTGGTGCAACATATGCTGGAGCAGTTTCTGGATACAGAATTGGCGAGGCCATGTCACTGGGTTCTTCAGTGGCTGTGGGTAAACATGAGTAGTCATTATCTCTGGTCCAAGTGCGAAACATCCCCGTATCATATTTGGCTGGAATCTCATCCCCTCCTGCATTGATTCTATATACGGTTTCCAAGGCAGAATCATTATGAATGTAATATAGCACAGGATAATGACCAACTAAAGGAATATGGGCATTATCACCCTGAATATAGAGATTGGATGGCATGGAAACAACTTCGATTCCATTGACGAATGCATAGACATCCGAAGCATTGGATGATGGAGTGAAAGTCAGTTCCAAGGTTCTTCCACTCACATGGATGATAAACTCTTTCATCAGATTTGGTTTATTGATGTAATCAGTTGTGAGAGAAACACTCAAGTTACGCAGAAGAGTGAAATTACCAGCTGTGACGGATACAAAAGCTCCGGAGACGTCCAGGCCCAAGTAAGAAGTAGGGTAGAAGTGAAGGCGGACAAATTTTGGACCTGGAGTCACGTTGAACCTGTAGGTAAAGTGAGAGTAAAATACTCGGGCAGTCATATATGGAACATCAGGAACAGATTCATTAATCAGAGAGGCTTTGGCCATCAGGGACTTGGCTTCTGCATTAGATGATACGTACTCTGAACCCGCATCACCAGTCCAGTTCCTCCCATTATAGGACAATTGTTCTGATGAGCTAGTGCCACAG